TGATTCATCGTACTTGCACCGTTCTATTTCACCATGTTTCTATATTTCTTTGTCACTTTTTTGTGTTTTGTTTTATACTTTTGTTACATGCTTTTTTATTGTTTTAGGCGTTTTGAGATGGTTCTTCTCATCCTGAGCATTTCATTGCATTGTTGACCTGCATATGACAAATAAACAATAAAGAAAAATAAAATAAATATGACAACTCTTTGCCACTGGGCTGGGTCGACGTACTCTGAGAGTTCGGATGTCAGACCAGTCTGGACCTGACTCTTTTTGCTCCGGTTCGTCAGATTGTGTTTTAAATTAAAGTCCATTTTTTTTCCTTTCAACATACAACAACAAAAACAAAAAGACAAAACATAGAGCGAACCTCGCCCCCCACCTCGGATCAGTCACACCCAGACAACGAGGCGCTGACATGTTTTCTGTGGCCCAGTGCCTCATGGTTCGTCAGATTTGTTTGAAATTCACCAGAGTCGAACACTTCAGGAACACAAAGATGGATCTAGTTATGTTGCGTCGTTTATGTCAGTCTTGGTGAAAAAAAATCGATAAATAAATTAAAACTTGAGCAAGAAGATCAAACAGAAGTGATGTTGGTTCAAGTTCCTCCGTCTGTTAGGACAGGTACGATTAATTAACTTGATTCAAGATGGCCGTCACAGCTAAGGAACCTTAGCCCCACTAATTTGGCTTTAACTCGGTTTTTACTGATTGCTGTTAAATAAAACATGTTTTGGTGCCTGAGATGACTTTTGTTGTGAATCCATGCTGAATAAATTAAAACGTTCAGACGTTGTGCTGATGTGTGGTAGTAGCTGAGAGTCCTCCCCAACAAATAGTCTGAGCTCCAAATTAATCTCAAATTACAAGATCGTCCCACTTTTACAGAACAATATTTACCATGTGAAACATGTTGAGCACCCGATGAAGGTCGACCGACAGCAAAAATTATTCTGAACATGGGATGCGTGTTTTGGGACATTGGCAACATGTTTATACCACATGTGGAAAAACATGTGAATTCACGTGTTTTTTTTTTTTTCTGCCCACATTGAGAATCTGAATCAGTGGTTCCAAAAATTGGAATCAGAACCCCGAGATAAATGCAAGTAGTCCATTTCCACCGCGGAACGACGAGGGGAGCGGCGTGTGGCGAGACTGAGCACGTGAAAAATAAAAGAACCGTTCTGGAGTGTGGCTGCGAAGAAACATGAAAAAGGTCACTCTGAAAAATGTAATGCCAAGTCAAAATCCAAGATGGCCACCACCACATGTTTATGTAAACCCATCTCACCCCTATCATTTCAAGAAACTATGCTTTCTACTTTTTATACTCTTAAACATATAATTTCTTACGACTTGTCGCCATAATTATTATAAAGTTAATTAAAATTCAGACGTCAGAAAATGAACATGAATGTTGAGTCTGTATCTTTGTGCTCGTAAAGTTTGGGAACCAGACGGTTTAAATAAAATAATTATAAAACAAAACTTAACTCACCGGGTTGTACACTGGTTGTCCATCCAGACCCTAAAACCAGATTAAGAGGTACAGCAGATTAAATTAAATTACAGATAACGTGTAAAAAACATCCATGATGAGCTGGAGCTGAGGTTACCGGCAGGTGTGGGCCTGGGTATTTATTAACCTTTATTTAATATATAAATAAATGTTTATTTAAAATATAAATAAATCTTTAATATATAAATAAATCTTTATTTAATATATAAATAAATCTTTAATATATAAATAAAGGTTTATTTAATATATAAATAAAGGTTTATTTAAAATATAAATAAATCTTTAATATATAAATAAATATTTATTTAATATATAAATAAATCTTTAATATATAAATAAAGGTTTATTTAATATATAAATAAAGGTTTATTTAATATATAAATAAAGATTTATTTAATATATGAATAAAGGTTTAATATATAAATAAAGGTTTATTTAATATATAAAGATTTATTTAATATATAAATCTTTAATATATAAAGGTTTAGATTAAAGATTTATTTAATATATAAATAAATTTAATATATAAATAAAGGTTTATTTAGTATATAAATAAATTTAATATATAAATGAAGGTTTATTTAATATATAAATAAATGTTTAATATATAAATAAAGGTTTATTTAATATATAAATAAAGATTTATTTA